TTTTTTTTAAAGGGAAATTTGGGAAAAATGCAACTATAGCCCACGCATGGCTCAGCCCCACTTCCTTGTTTTTTGGCTTTCACTGCCCAGCGGGAAACCCAATGGCTCCTGCTGCCTCGGGAAAGGGCCCCGAGAGCTGGAAAGGGTAAAGGGAAAGAGCCTCTGCAACAAGCACGCTTTTGGATTGAGGGGGCTCACTAAGTATAGGGAGAGGGGGGAAAGGAAACCCCCCTTCTCCCCCCCCCCCCCCCCCCTTTTTTTTTTTTTTTTTCAAGGAATGGGGGTTTTTAAACACTTGAGTCCTGGGATTTACCCCCCCCCCCCCCCCCTTTAAAGACCAGGCCCCTTTTTGCTACTTGGGGCTGCCCCCTAGTTCAACTGATAATTGCGCGGGGGATGCAATTCTGCACCCAAACGAAATTTACGTCCTTTTTTCACACAAAAAGAGCTTTCTAACGGTGGTATTTGAAACACCCGTGCGCTTTTTAATTTTTTCCCCTAAAACCCAAAAAAAACCAATTTTTTTGAAGAAAAAACCCATAAATTTTTTTCTTTCCGCTATAAAAAAATTTAAAGTAAACTCAAAGTTAGTTTTTAAAATTTTGGCCCAAAAAGTATTCTGCTACAAAGTTTTTTTGGGAAAAAAAAAACCCAAAAGGGGTATGTTCTTTGGGTGAAAAATTTATTGCATCTACAAAATATGGAATGAGTGAGTAAATTTTGGGAGATCTCCCTTTTTTTTCCTTTACAAGGGTTTTTAAATCTAAAAAAAAATAAAAAAAAATGTTTTTTTCTTTTTTCCCAAAAACTTGTGGCAACAAATGAGATCTGAAAAAAACCCTTTCCCCTGCTTTTTTATCAAATTCCTTGGGGCGTCTACTTTCCAAAAAGGGGGGAAATTTTGGGGGGGGTTTGGGGTATCCTGGCATTTCGGGGCCCCCAAAAACTGTGATAGGGTAGTCTGGAAGTGTAATGAGGGGAAAAAAAGCCCTTTAAAAGGCCCGAAAAAGCTTATTGGTTTTTGGGGGCCCCGTACTTTGGGTAGACTGCCAAAATTCTCACAAAGTGGTACCCCCCCTTTAACCCGGGGAAGTAGCAAAATGTATTTTGGGGTAATTCCACTTTTAAAACCCTGGAAAGGTGGAGATTAAAAACTTTAAATGACAATTTTGGGGGTTTAAAAAAAAAAAAAAAAATTATTTTGTCATTTCCCAAAAACTTGTGGAAAACACTTCATCTATATTGAATCCACATTCCACACCTCCCCACGTTAGGTGTGACAACATTTACAACAAGAGAACCATATTGGGGTTGTGTGCGTGATAAAGCCCAGCATTCGAAAGTATATAAAAGCCACACAACCATCAAAAAAATAACCAAAAAAATAAAAAAAAAAAAAAACACCTGTAAAAAAATCTAAAAAAAAAATAGCAAGTAAAAAAAATAACAAAAAAAAAAAAACCAAAAAAAAAAAAAAAAAAAAAAAAAAAAACAGTGAATAAAAATGGTGGGTACTACAATATTTATTAAGGCACCTAGTGCTCGCGCAACAAACGATTATCAAAAGCAATTTAAAAAAACAAAAACCTTTTTTTACACTTATGCACAAAAACACAATAAATTTGGGCCAATTGTTTGGTAAAAAAATATAAAAGAACGGTATGCCGAGTAAATAGATGCCAAACATGACATGCTTTTTAAAAATGGCAGGCCCCCCTTCAATGGGAAAAAACTGCCCAAAAATTTTTAATATCCAAGGCTGCCCCTTTAAAAAACCTTTCCCCTTTTAGATTTAAGAGGAGGGTCAAACGTTATAAAAAAAAACTGCCCTTGATTGACGTTCATGGCAATACCTCCCCAAAACATGGTTTCAACCCCTGTTTACATAAACACCAAAGGGTTTTAAGGCTTGTGCACCCCAGGGTGGCATATGGGGGGGGGCAAACTTTTTTTTTTTTTTTTTTTTTTTTTTTTTTTTTAAACATTTTAAATGCTATAACGGAATGAAAAAAACCCCCTAAAATTTCAAGGGCATTGTCATTTTTCTTTTTGAAAAATTTGGGGTTTCTATCAAAACCTAGATATCTCCTCTGCCTTTTACATTATCTAATCAAACCAAAATGGGGTTGTGTCGATGTTTTCCCCAATTTACAAATGGGCACTGTTTTTTATCCTGCAAAACCCAAAGTTTGAAATGCTTGTAGCTTCCGAATTTTTTAGACTTTTAAGAGATGATTGGAAAACCTTTCTGGTCCCCAATCAGCTCAAATTGGTCAGTTTGGCGGGGAAACCCGGGGGCTGCTTTTCTCAGGTTCCCCTGAGTCAGGGGGAACTGCCCGAGAAGGCCGTGGGAGGGGGGACATCCCCCAAGCTTGAAAAAGCAATTTTGGGCAGAAATTACCACTGGGAAATTGCTTTTACATAAAAGCCGATCCCCCGGCTGAAAAAAAAGGGACCCCAAAGGATGATGCCTGCAGCGCAGGCATACCGGGTAAAACCCATTCAAATCCAGTGATGTCCCTACATCGCTGGCCCTTTGTTGGGAAATATATCAATATATGAATATACCCCCCTGTGTCCACCCACTTCAAAATGGTGGGCCCCCCCCCAAATTAGGTCACATTTTTGCCCCCCAAGTCCCAGTTTAAAGGGGATTAATTTTTTTTCCTTCCCCCCCCCGTGGGCCCGCTTGAAAAAAATTGTCCACATATAAGGGGTTTACCCCCATATAAAGAAAAATTGATGCACAAAGCCCCAAAATTTCCTTGCCATTTGCTCCCCATGTATCTGGGCATCCGGGGGGCTCCACTGACTTTTTTTTTCCCCTTCGTAAATCCAAAACTTATAAAGAAAAGGGCCTTTGTCCTCTCCAACCCTTTCCTACTTTCTTACCCCGGGAAACGTTTGCAGGGGAAAAATTTTGTATGAATGCAAGACGGCCAAAAAAAAATTAAAAAGGGGGACTCATCAAGGGCAGATGTTTTGCGGGGGGAGATGGGACATCTGAAAATTTTTTGGGTTTAAAAAGGTGTTTTGCGAGGGGGAAATTTTGTGGAGCCCGGTCAAATTCAGGGTTCCCCCAGGAAGGACCGAGTGAAATTGTCGCTAAAATTTTAATAAAACACAAAATACTTCATTTTTTCCCGGGGCCATGGAAAACAGGAACACGGAAATATCATGAATGGGGTTGCGGACCAATACAACCCGAAATTTTAATTTTTTTTAGTAATGCCCATGTTGGGGGTTGGGCCCCAAAAAAAATGTAAAAAATTTTAAAAACCCTAATGAGTTTTCCCTGCGAGTGGGCTGGGGAAGGTTTGAATTTGGGTTTGGGGCGATAAATTGTTTTGAAAATAGGCTGTTTTGATCCAAAAATCCATGCATACAGAAATTTTGGAAAAAAAGGGTCCCAAAAAATCAAGGGAGGTATTTTGAAAAAACCCAAGTTTTACAAAAACCGCGGGGGCTCGGCCCAAATTAAACCCAAAAAATAGAGGGGAAAGGGACTAGTAAATTTGGCCCCTTGCTGCATAAAATCATCAAAAATTTACCGGCAAGGCTAACAAGGGTCAGGCCTGGATTCTTTCGAACACCCGCGGGTTTTTTGGTGCCAAAGTATTTAAATGAGAGTGAAACTACTGGCAACTCACTTTTCTGGGGGGGGAAAAAGGGGGGGGGGGGTTGGTGTGTGTTTTTGTTTTTTTTGTGTGTGTTTGTTTTTTTTGTGTGGTGTTGGTGTTTATTTTGTGTTTTTTTTGTGTTGGTTATTTTATTTTTGTTTTTTTTGTTTTTGTATTGTTTTGTATATTTTTGTTTTGATATATATAGACACACACACACACACACCCCGCTGCGTTACTTTAACTCACAATTGCGCGGTCATGCAACACTGCACTGCACCCAAATCAAATACCACCAAAAGAAAGCTCAATTTGTGGGAAAAAAGATGTAAATTTAATCGCCTGTGCGGGTTTTTTTTATTTTTTTATTTTTTTTTTTTGCGCTATTAAAAAAAAAAAAAAAGCTGACTATTTTGAGAAAAAAAAATATTTTGGACTTTTTGCTATAAAACATACCCAGTAAAAAAAAAAATTTATGTCAAATTTCATTCCAAAATGCATTCTGCGACATGTCTCTGCTGGCTGAAAAAAAAATCCAAATACGTGTAAATTAATTGGTTTTTTTACATGAAAGTTTATAGCGTTTACAAATGGCGGGAAAGATACTGGTACTTTTTTTTTTTTTTTTTTTTATACTAATAATAATGGCGGCGATCAGCGACTTATGGCAGGACTGCGGCCGGACATTTTGACACTGGGGGGAACTGACACCAATACAGTGATCAGTGAAGAAAAAAACCCACTGACACTGTACTAATGGCACTGGGGAGGAAGAGGTTAACATTTTTTTTTTTTTTTAGGTTTTACTGTGTGAGGGGAGTGTTTTACTAGGGGACAGGCTGATCCAGAGAGAGAAACTCTTCTCTCCCTCTTCAGCTTATCACGAGCTGTCAGGGAACTGAAAGATAGCAGGGCGGTGTATAAACAATGCAGCCCTGCTCTGTCAGCAATCACTGTGGGGAAACGACCGGTAATGACCGGCCGTGCCCTGGCAGCGGAGACCTGCTGGTGACACCCGCGGGACAGGTAGGGCGGGCTCGCGCACGCCCCCTACCTGTTTTGCAAAACCACGTTTTAAAACGTGGTTTTTGTGCAGCCGTGCCACCCTGCAAACGTACATATGCAGTGGCTGGGGCTTAAGAGGTTTATGTAAAAAGACCGTGTACTGCTGTTTCTTCTCCTCCCCTGGCTGTCAGGAAAAGTGCATTTTATATGCTTGCACAAATGTTTTGCCTTTCACTTCTATTTTAAACTGGTTTTCCAAGGTGAGGATTTGCATATACTATAAGCTTGCTTTATTAAGAAGTTCTATAGCACATTTCTGGATCGTGCGATATTGTACTTGATTGAGCTAATTGATGTACATGGCTTTCAAAATTGATGCATTCAAGTTTGTTTTCCAGTTTCTCCAAGAAAGAGTCGGACTATAATGCCCTTCAAGCAAAGTTTCGGGATAACGAGGCCCTCCTTCACTCTACTGATGCTGCCCTTGTCACAGCACAGAGTGAGAAGAAAGCTCTAGATCTGGAAGTGGAAGGTCTTAGAGCAGAGATTGAACAGGTAAGCACTGTTGCTAGTGTAGATGTTATATTTTTATACTTGTTTTTTTTTTTTTTTTTTTTTTTTTTTTTTTTTTTTCTTTTTTTCCTGCACCTTAATGCCAGGAAAAGACTAATCAAATTGCTTTCTTCTAGTTTGAATCTGCTCTGGCAAAATTAAAGGCGCAACTTGGAGAAGAGGCACTGCAGAAAGTGGATCTTGAAAACCGTTGCCAATCTCTTACTGAAGAGCTTGAGTTTCGTAAAAACATCTATGAGGAGGTAGGTACTGAAGCCTGCAATATTGGATATAATGGAACTCCCCCTATTCACCTGGACATAGGAAAGAAATACAAAAAGCTATGTGAAATGGAAATGTACTTCGCTGTTCAGTGGAGCCAGAACATTTATTGATCAACTTGGGAAACGTAGAAAGGAAGTACTGTACCATGTGACAAGCTGTGACCAATCACTGCTCACACAGTTCTCAACGGCTGCAAGAATGCAGCCAGAGAGGAGAAATTATTGCTTTTACACCCATAAAGGCTGTAAAAGCAATCCGTGTTAAAAAAAAAAAAAAAAAAAAAAAAATCTTCATCACCCCCTACTAGTAGTGTCACCATGGTGACCCTGTATTGCTAGGGTGCAGTATGTAAAAGCATAACTAATATAAAAAATGTTTAAAATGTATAATTTTTGGTTATAAACTAATTTGGGATTTATATTCGCTTTTTTTTTTTTTTTTTTTTTTTTTTTTTTTTTTTTTAATTTTTGGACTTTTTTTTTTTTTCATTTTTATAGCAAAAATAAAACTCCCAGTGGTTTAAATACCACCAAAATAAAGCTTTATCTGTCTAAAAAAAAAAAAAAAAAAAAAAAAAATGGTAAATTCATATGGGTACAGTGTTCCATGACCATGCAATTGTCATTCAAAGTGTGATAGCGCTGAAAATTGGCCTGGACAGGAAGGGGTAAGTGTCCGGACTGGAAGTGGTTAAGGAGCCATTTTGGCAAGCTGGATGTCGCGTCCATAACAATGGATGAATCGTCAGCGGGGTTCCCTGCTTACAGCTGAATGTAAAAAGAATTAACGGCTAAAAGAAAATTTGAGGCAAAAAGTGTGGGGTCCCCCCCCCAAATCCATACATGACTCTTATCTGAGCATGTAGCCTGGTAAGCCAGGAAAGGGGATGAGCAAGCAGGCATGTGGCCTGGTATGGTTGGCCTGCCAAGCTGCGTGTTCAGATAAGGGACTGGTAAGGATTGTGGGGAGACCCACAATGTAAATCCCTCCCAAAAGTAATTGTTTTATCTTTTTACGTTCAGCTGTCAGTGGGGAACCCCACTCACAGCTGGTGACTCATCCATTGTTAACCTTGCTGACCTGCTTCTTGACAACCAACTATTCTCTGGGTCAGGATGCTGGAGGTGCTCCTAAACTTCAAACGCTCCTAAACACTGGAGAAATGCCAGCAAAAAACACCTATTAGCGTGTTTGTTTTTGTCCCTCCCCCAATGGGTTTGAGCAGCTAATGTGCATGGACCCTGAAAAATTTTAAAATGAAACCGCATCTGAGCATCACAAAATGAAAATGCTATGTATTTCTGCTTTGACCTCTCGCGCTCCAGAGGATTTACCCCCCCCCCCCCCCCCCATTCCTGACCAGGCCATTTTTTTGGATATGGAGCTGTGTTACTTTGACAATTACATGGTCATGCAATGCTGTACATGAAACTCTTTCAGTGCAGTGGTATTTGATCACCTGTGTTTCTGGCAGGGTTTTTTGTTTGCTTTTTTTTTTGCGCTATAATCAAAAAAAAAAAAAAAAAAAAAACCTCTGTTTTGGGAAACATTGCCTTTTTGCTATAAAGCATACAATATAGAAAAATTTAACCAAATTTCTTCATAAATTTAGTGCAAAATGTATTTTGCTACATGTCTTTAGCTAAAAAAAAAAAAAAAATAATCTCAGCAAGTGCATATTGGTTTACATGAAAGTGTTGTTTTTTTTTTTTTTATAGCGTCTACAAATGGCGGTGCATGTATAATTATACTGGAATGTAAAATATATATATAATTTTTTTTTTTTTTTTTTTTTTTTTTTTTTTTATATACTTGTAATGGCGATCAGCGACTTATAGCGGCAGGCATTTTGACCCTGGGTGGGAACTAACAGCCACTGACGTCCCCAGTGACACGAATCATGATCAGTGCTAATAAAAAGCACTGCATCTACTACACTTGGCAGGAAGGGGTTATCTAGGGTGATCAATGGGTTAACTGCGCTGTGTGTGTTTTACATTGTGTGCTGTTTTACTTGGGAGACATGATGCTTTGTATCTCTCTGCTGTGCAGAGCTAAAAAGCTGCATGTCCATGCCAACAGATGTGTTTACACACTTCTCCCCTCCTGGCCCTGCCAACAATCGGCGGGTCCCGGTGTTTCACATCCCCAGCAGCCAAAAGCGGCGTGAGTAGGGAGCACGCACCCCCCCCCCCCCCTTACCTGGAAATGCAAATCGTATACAGTATAATTTTGTGCAGCTGTACCACCCTGTAGCAGTATGTCTGCTATAGGGTAGAGGGCAACTGGTTAATGAAATGGTAACATTGAAGTTGAGAAATTGAGTCATATTTCAACTGTTTTCTGATTTAATATTGGATTCTTCTAATGTGGGCAGAGGGTTTTGTTGGTTTATGGCTTTTTTTTTTTTTTTTTTTTTTTTTTTTTTTTCCCCCTCAGCTTGAGGACCTTTTTGTATATGATGGTGCACTGAAATATAACTTTTTATGTAGCTTGAAATCCATTGTCTCAATTATAAATGTCGGGACCAAGTGTTTACAATGTATTGAGATTAGTTGAAGTGCAAACTTTAGACACAAGTCTCGACCTGGGCACATTTAGTTTAACACACTCGCATGGGAACAGAAAGCTAATACAAAAAAAAATGAAAAAGCTTAATTAACTCTAATTAGCACACACGTTATATAAATTGAACACTTCTTTACTTGTAAAAGACTTCCATGCTTTGGGCCAGGAAGAACACTGAACAGATGTATACTTCCATCTGGTGTAACCCTGTGGGTCATTTTTTATTAAAAGCAGTAATATGGCCTTACTACTGTGGGGCAGTGATCACATTGCTGTAACAGCAGGTACGCCAACACCAAGGCAGTGCTTTTAAAAATGAATGGGATGGGGGGGGGGGGTCCTGTGACCAGCACCTCTTCATATCCTGTCACTGACCTCGCTAAATTTATAGTCTGCAGTCTTTAATTTGCAGTGTTATGAATGAGCTGTAAAATGCAGACTGCAGTGTATAGTGAACACCCCCCGACTATATTGGATAAAAGAGCCTCATATGTATTGCTTATAAGTAACTTATTGAAAAATCAGCGTTCCTATAACTGAAATGCATCTGTGGAGTGCTGCGTTAACTACTTCAATTTCTGCACTAACAGGTGCTTGCAAAACAGAGGAAAGTTTATTTTCTGCTGGCATGTCTTTACAGGAAATCAAGGAGACTCGAAAACGGCATGAGACGCGATTGGTTGAAGTGGATTCTGGTCGAGTTATTGACTATGAGCACAAACTTGCCCAAGCTCTTGCTGAAATGAGAGGACAGCATGAAGACCAAGTCAAGGTTTATAAAGATGAGCTTGAGCAGACCTATCAAGCTAAGGTATGACCTTGAATTTTCACACTTTAAGATTATAAACAGAGACCATGCTAGATTTTGGCTTTCTTTGCATGAATCTGGTTTTAAACCTATTGCTAAAAAAAAAAATCCACTGGTTCACATAAAGTCAATAGAAAAATGTCAGTGGAAATTCTGCAGGTAGGTGTTAAAACACTCTTGTCATTTTGTAATGATTGAATAGCCCCCACACTGTCATTATTACAGAAGGCATTCAATATTATTGACTGTAAACATATATAAACTGGTAGCTATGGGCTGTTGTATTTTGAGCTTTAACATTTTAAGCAATTTCCCCAAATTAACAAATCTCATGCTTTATCATATTAAATAGTATGGTGACACTTATGTTGAAACAATTTTGACTTCATATTTTTTCTTCCTGTTTAACAACCTGGTCCTTCTCTACCACCCCATCTGCTGTGTGACAGCAGTAATTGTGTTTCCTTAGGAAATACTCAATTCCTGTTTGGTAGTGGCAGTGTGTGAAATGTCCGTATTTGGTGTACTTCCTCATTGTCTGCGTTTTTTCTCTTTCAGCTGGAGAATGCTAGACTGTCTTCTGAGATGAATAGCTCTGCAGTCAATAGCACACGGGAGGAGCTTATGGAGAGTCGTCTGCGTATTGATAGTCTCTCAAGTCAGCTATCAGACTTGCAGAAAGAGGTATGTGGTAGGGGGACATGCTGTATACTACTAAAACAGTAACTTTTGTGTAGGATATTGACTTATGTGCTTTTAAGTGAACTAGATATGCACATGTTTAGTATCGTAGTTTAACATTTTATCATATTTGCAGTCTAGAGCTTGGTATGATCGTATGCAAGAGCTGGAAGAGTTGCTGGCTAAGGAGAGGGATTCTTGTCGTCGGATGCTTGCAGAGAGAGAGCGAGAGATGGCTGAAATAAGAGATCAAATGCAGCACCAGCTTTCTGAGTATGAACAACTTCTAGATGTGAAGTTGGCTTTGGATATGGAGATCAGTGCCTATAGGAAGCTGTTGGAGGGTGAAGAGGAAAGGTAATCCACTTCTCAAATAAGACCTGGTTTGTCACAAGCAGTAATTGAATCTGACTGCACTTTTGAGTTGGAAGTTGCATGTTCCTACTCAAGCTCTAATCTTGCATGCATTTTTTTTTTTTTTTTTTTCCTTATCTCCTGTCAACATTAGACTAAAGCTTTCTCCAAGTCCATCCTCCCGTGTGACTGTTTCCAGAGCATCTTCGAGCCGTGCTGTGCGAACTACTAGAGGAAAGAGGAAGAGGGTTGATGTGGAAGAATCGGAAGCCAGCAGCAGTGTCAGCATTGCACACTCCGCTTCTGCAACTGGGAATGTGTCCATTGAAGAGTTGGATGTGGATGGAAAATTTATCAAACTGAAAAATAATGCCAATGAAGTATGTCACTTATTTATTTTAAGCTACCTTTTTGAGATCTCTCTATAAAATGCTAATTTTTGTTATTCGTGTATTCCTTTTGTAGGATCAACCACTGGGAGGCTGGGAAATTACTAGAATAATTAGAGGCACATCTGTGCATTACAAGTTTACCTCAAGATATGTGCTTAAAGCAGGCCAGACTGTTACAGTAAGTGTCTAGCATTGTGGCTAACTTTCAGGTATTTAAAACTTGTTGGGCTCTTAACAAGTACTTTGTATACAGCATAATCTTAAGTAGAGGGAGGGGAAATCTGATTTGTGAAATATCAAAATACCACCTATCTACATAAAGGATAACTGTACCACTTGAAAAATGCAAGTTGTCACTGTTAGAGTGCATCCATGATAAATATGTAGAATAATGCTAACAAATTAGAATGCTATAGTGAGTCACATGGGCTGTTGTAAGTTGGCTGGTACTTGGTTATTTAAGTCAATTGTTCCCATACAGTATGTCTGATGGGAAAGCACTGTATGAAAAGAATGGGCACAAGTTTGACATTTTGCACTATTGGCAATGGGAAGGTACATCGACCGTCCCTATCTGTAATCCTCTTGACTATTGTAAGCCAATACATATTTGTTGGCATTCAGAAAATGAAACCGTTTATTCCTTCTTTCTAAAATAGATTTGGGCTGCTAATGCTGGTGTTCCTGCAAGTCCACCAGCTGACCTCATCTGGAAGAACCAGACCTCTTGGGGCACTGGTGAAGATGTAAAGGTGGTGTTGAGAAACTCTCAGGGAGAGGTATGTACCTTAGTCAGAATGCCTGTTAATGACCTATATCTAGACACTGTTGGCTTTTCTAGAATAATTGTTAGCAATTTGTTAAAACTACTATATTTTGTTACCTTAGGAAGTGGCTCAAAGATCCACTGTCTTTACAACCACTCTACCTGAGGAAGAGGTAGATGAAGAGGAGCCAGAAGAAGCACAGGAAGTCATTGTTGTGCAAGAGACAAGGCAGCGTCGGCAGGTAAGTGCAACTGCATTGAATGCTTGGTGTATGTACAGCACGTAGGTTTCCTCTTCAGTTGCCTAGTAAAATACAGCTTAGTGGAAGATGTGTAGGTCTATCCAAAAGTAGTCGCTTAGAAATCTGGTGGGCCAAACAGCATTCTGGCTTTTTCCCTGTGGCATGTAAACGTTCAATTCTTCCTCCTTTTTTATCTGTTAATCTTGAGTTTTGGTGTTACTGAGGGAAATTAGACTTCCTCACTTCGTGTGTAGGTTTGTTCCCATCCCCCCCCCCCCCCCCCCCCCCCCCCCCATCTTCAAGGATTTGAGTGGTTTAACTCTCCAGCTTTTTATTTAGTTGAATGAACTTTAAGTAATTTGATTTTTAATTGCTTAATGCCAGGTATTGTGTGTGTGTGTGTGTGTGTGTGTGTGTGTGTGTGTGTGTGTGTTAGGGTAATCGCAGCTGATTACCCGCTAGATTGCTATTTCAAGCAGCGGGAAGGGACATAGCCTCCCCTCCTGTAGCCTTCCCAGGAACCTGAGAGTGCAGCCAGCAGTTCTGCCAGCTGACTATATTGTTGATTGAGGACCAGAATGGCCCCAATCATCTCTATGGTCTGAAAAACCAGAAGCGATTGAGTATTTAGTCACTTCCGGTTTTGCCGGATGACAGCAAACCACTCCTGGTTTGAAAAGAACATTGCATCATACCAATGTTGGTATGATCCAAAGCTTTTTATGTCAAAGATCTGGGTCCCCTGATCTCAGAAAAGTCTGTCGCTGCCTATTATCAAAAGGGATGATTATATTCCTTGTGATTAACAAAAGTGATCCCAAAAACATTTTAGAGACTGTGTTTTTAAAAAAAAAAAAAAAAAAAAAAAAAGAAAATCTTGCGAAGTGCACACACGGGTTATGTAAACGACAGTCACAACACGTGTGCAGTATCATCAGATAAGAGCAATAATTCTAGCACCAGACCTCTTGTGTAAGCTTAGTGTTAACCTGTAAAGACTTTTAAAGCAGCACCTGGATAATGTAGTTTGTAGCCGTTGCGCGTGTGCAATTTTAAAGTGTGTTTTGTGAAATTATAAATTCATGTAAAATGTCAAACTAATGAATTTTAATGCACAAAAACACAATGCCAACCAATAGTGTGTTTTTGTTCAAAATATTTGCGCTTGAAAACCACTGCTCAAATTTCGTGTGACATAAAAAATTATCCACCATTAATGATTAAAAAAAAAAAAATCAATTTTATTCTCTAGGGCCTCTGCTTAAATTGTTTTGGCGGTTCTTAAGTTATTTTCTAGCACAAAATAGTGTGTTTTACATTAAGGGAGAGAAGAAAAGTGTACTAATAAGCCTGGTCTTCAAACAGTGAAACAGTCTAATATAATATGAAAGATATATGCCAGTTACAATTTCCAACAACTTTATTCAACCCTATGACCTGCCTTTTTTGTATGTGTATGTATACTCCTACATAACTTTATTACCCTGTTGCTTTTTCTTCCACTTAGATAATTATTAAAACTGTCATATTGAGACAGTATGTCATTTTTTTTTTTTTTTATTCCCTTTTCCTCCCACCAGTCTTAACTAAAATTTCCTTCTTTTCCAGGTTTCAGAAAACAGAAGCTGTGCTGTGATGTAAACCTAGTTCTGATTCCAGTCCACAGATCTGAGCCTTTTTTGGGAGCATCAACTTCTGGCAGTGTACAAATTTAAAAAAACAGAAATTTGCTCAAGCTGATGGCCTTATTTTTGTATTTTTAAACTCCTTGGGCACACAAAGTCCTGTTCAAATATTTGGATAAAATGTGAAGTGACTAGTTTGTACACTGTAAGGTCCTGAGTCATTCAGGGATAAATTTGATTAACTGTGAAGGCCACACATTGTCATCTGACAGTCCTAAGCAATTACTTAAAAGGTGCTGTACATTTGGAGGCAAATTATGTTTGTGCTTCCACTTTTTGTACTGAATCTTTATTTTCTATTATGTAATTGAGATTTTAAACCATTTTATCCTCTGGCTTTCTTGCAAGGCGTTATTTGTATCATGCAAAAATCCAGCTGTTTTATTAAAACTTTAGTTTAGTGTGGTGGGTGGGTAATGTTGTAGCCATTTTAAATATGAAACCATTACTTACCTTTTTTTAAAATAAAAAAAAAAAAAGTTTCTACTGTTGTATTTGTGTGGTGTGTATTTTTTCTTTCCTCTCCACAAATATTCCTAAGGCAGGCCATTGGCAGCTCAAAAACCGAATGTGTTCTGTTGGTCAAAAAACAAATGGTATATACAATTGTACCATCATTTTAATTTGTTTTTCAAAACAAAATCCAGCATGTTGTATCAGGCAAACGTATCGTAAACGGTATGCATTGAAAACCGATTAATCAGTTCCTGAGGTCAGGAAAAAAGTAAACACTACAAAAATACCACATGAGTTATTTTATTAAGTCGTGGTATTTTAGTAGTGACAACCATGTGTTAATGTTTCAGCTGTCAGCGGGGTTCCTCACTGACAGCTGTATGTAAAAGAATTGCCGGCAATTAAAAAAAAATAAACCGGGTCCCCCCTCCTATCAACACTAAGCCCTTGGGTCTGGTATGGATTGAAGGAAACTCCCACGCCAAAATTTAAAAAAAAGTCGTAGGGGTACCCCCAAAATCCATACCAGACCCTTATCAGAGTATGCTGGAAAGGGGAGGGACGAGTGAGCCGTCCCCCCTTCCTCAACCATACCAGGCCACATGCCCTCAACATGTGGGGGTGCTCTGAGGCAGGGGGACTCCCCCCAAAGCAGTTTGTCCTCATGTTGATGGGGACAAGGGCCTCTTCCCCACAACCCTGGGGGTGACCCCACTCTTGTTTATTATGGTGCCAGTTTTTAAATGTAATCACTGTGGATTTTTTTTATATTAAATTATATACTATAGCTTAGATTCAGCTCTCACTCTCCTCCCCCCAGTTAAAAAAAAAACAATGTTTTATTTTAGTTTCTTAAATGAAGCAGAGCCTCCTTTAACTCTGGGGAAAGTAACAGCTAATTCTGTGAGCTATAGTGAAGGGAAAAAAAAAGCTAGTAATTGCTTTTAAAAATCGGCACCAACATACACTTTGTATTGCGAAAAAAAGGCAAAAAAAAAAAAAAAAAAATTGTAAACCAAGGCAGGGGAGGAGGTGGGTCGGCAGGTGGTTCTGTGTCACTAGGGGCAAAGAAGGCAAATGTATTTAACCCCTCTTCAGCTCTTTGTATACAAAGGAGCATGGGGGAGCTCTTATCCATAATGGGCATGGTATTGACACAGCTCCAGATGATGCACATTGGCTCACAATTGATATGATCCCAAAACCTTTATTCACTATAAAGTTCCTGGATGGCATATTCCCACGGGTCCTTAAAGAATTGAGCTGTCATTTCAAGCCATTGTTGCTAATTTTTAGCAACTCTTTAATGACTGGCATAGTACTACTGGATTGGTGTAAAGCCAATGTGGTGCCAATATTTAAAAGGGTTAAAATCTTTACCAACTAATAATAGACCTGTTAGTTTAATTTATATAGTTGGGAAGATACTGGAGAGTTTAATAAAAAAAAAAAACATAGATGAGTTCTTGCTGGAAAAAAAATATTTTAAGCAACAGACAGCATAGATTCATGACTGACAGAAGTTGTCAAACAAATCTGATTTCTTTGAGGTGAGCAAAACCTTGGACAGAGGGGTGGTGGTGGATGTGGTATACTTAGATTTTGCAAAAGCTTTTGACGGGGGGGGGCACTCTTTACGTCTGGAGGAAAAGAAATTTAATGACCCTTTTTGGAAACTAGACTGTCCAAGGTCTATCTAGGGCTAAGGTGCATGATGAGTATTTTGCAGATCTCATTTGTTGCAACAAGTTTTTCAAAAATAAAAGAACGAAAAAATTTTTTTTTTCTTTTTCAAAAACTCTGTGACAAAAAAATATCTGCAAAATACTTATCATGCCTCTTATCAAATTCCTTGGGGTGTCTACTTTCCAAAAGGGGTTATTTGTACTATCCTGGCATTTTAGGGCCTCTGAGACTGTGATAGGTAGTGAGGAAGTGATATGAGGAAATATGCCCTTTGAAAGCCTGAAGGTGGTCATTTGTTTTTTTTGGGGGCCTGTGTCAGGAATGGACTGGCCAGCAATGGTGAGACTCACCTGCCTTATGAGCTGCAGTACCAGGGCTGGCCAGCGGGTGCTCCAGCAATCAGACTCAACCTTGCAGCCAGTCAAACACCTGGAACTGATTATACTGGTGTATTTAAGGGACGGCCAGACCTGCAGACTCTGCCTTGGTGTGTGTTTCTCCTGGGCCCTGTATCCTGTTCCTGCTCCCTGTTCCTGTCTGATTCGTTGCTGACCCTGCTCTGATCCCTGGCTTTGTCTGACCATTCTCCTGCTCTTGATCCCTGGCTTTGTCTGACCATTCTCCTGCTTAACCCCATATGTTCTGACCTCCTGTTGATAATCCCGGCCTGCCTGACGACGCTTGCATTGTATGTACTGTTATCTGTGGGTGGTTGGTTTGGTTTGTTTGCACTGTGTTATGTTTTAGTATTGCACTGCGTTTTATGTTTGTATTGTTAGTGTTAATAAATTATATTTATAACATCTGAAGCCTGTGTTTCCCTGCGTCAGTCACATACCTCTGGTCACAGCCCGGAGCCCTGACATTACACCAAGGCCAATCCTGACCAGAAGTGGCTGCACAGGGAAGCCATCTTGGTTTGTTGATGGGAAGGATGGATCTTGATGAGGTTGTGTATTTATATCTGCTAGTGTTTGATGACAGAGAGTATGCTTATCAAGCGCTGAAGGAGTATCCCAGGGATGAACTGCTATAATGTATACGGCTCGCTCATGTTCTAGTAGATCAGGGCACAGAATTCTCTGAGGTGCAGCCATTGATTCAGATTTGTGCGGAGTTGGTTTCATCTGGTACCCCGAATGCAGGGATGAATTTTTGCCCCATTTAGTGCCGGCCAGGTAGAGTCCCTGGTATGGTTATTAGAGGATGATGTTGATTGCTTCTTGGAGCATTATGCTGCATGTTCACCACAGGTACTAAGATTGTATAAACGCAGTGCAGTCATTGACCAGACAGGCTTTGTGTAAGCTCAGCTTTGTTCAAACCCATACTGCAGACATGGACAGATTTGTTGCACCCAGCCTCAGTTAGCTTACAAAAACCCAGTCCTGCTTCTAATCTATTTCCTCAAAGCTCTATTCCTGCATTCCCAACAGCTCCTCCTGCCCTGCTATCTACCGCATGTCAGTACCCTGTTCCCACTCGCTGCACCTATCCTGCCTTTAACCCTGTAAAAAAGCCCTCTGTAGCAACTGTTCCCTCCCCTGTTCCATCTTCCAGCTCTTCTATGTCTCCAGCTGCTCCATTCGTTTGCAGACCTGCGTTTACTTGCAGTGCTCCAGTAGTTAAAACCAGAAAAAAGCGAAAATTCTTTCCAACCAATACCATCCTGCCAGTATCCAAACCAGTGAGCTTGCCGTCTGAGAACCTGCCTTCCGTGGTTCAGCCTGGTGCCTCGGCACCCGCACTTCAGCCTGAGGCCTGTACCCGGCCTGATGCCTCTACTCAGCCTGATGAACTGATCCAGCCTGATGATCCTATTAGGCCAGTTGACTCGATGCCCGCTGTTGATCCAGATGATCCGGTGCCCGCTGTCGTGCAATTGACTCAGAGCCCACTGTTGTACCTGGTGACTCGGTGCCCACTGCCTTGCCAGATGACGTGGTGCCCGCTGGCGAGCCAAATGACCTGATGCCTGGTGACCTGATGCCCGCTGTCGAGCCAGACGATCCAATGCCTGGTGACCCGGTGCCCACTGCCTTGCCAGATGACACGGTTGCCCGCTGGCAAGCCAAATGACCTGAGGCCTGGTGACCCAGTGCCGCTGTCATACCTGGTGACCCCGATGCCCGCTGTCGAGCCAGACAATCCGGTACCTGATGACCCGGTGCCCGCTGTCGTGCCTGGTGACTCGGAGCCCACTGCCTTGCCTGATGCCTGGTGACCCGATGCCCGCTGTCCAGCCAGACGATCCAATGTCTGACCCAGTGCCAGCGGTCATGCCAGTTGACTCGGAGCCCACTGTTGTGCCTGGTGACTCAGTGCCCGCCGCTCCGCCTGGGGGCCGAGACCTGTCGCTCCGCCCGGGGGTCCGGCGCCCGCCGCTCCACCTGGGGGCCGAGACCTGTCGCTCCGCCTGGGGGCCCGAGACCTGTCGCTCCGCCTGGGGGCCCGCGCCTGTCGCTCCGCCTGGGGTCCGGCCCGGCGCCTGTCGCTCCGCCTGGGGGCCCGGCGCCCTGTCGCTCCGCCTGGGGTCCGGCGCCTGTCGCTCCGCCTGGGGGTCCGGCGCCCGCCGCTCGCCTGGGGGCCGAGACCTGTCGCTCCGCCTGGGGGCCCGCCGCTCCGCCTGGGGGCACCAGAGACCTGCCGCTCCGCCTGGAGGTCCGGCGCCCGCCGCTCCGCCTGGGGGCCGGCGCCCGCCGCTCCGCCTGGGGGCCCGGCTCCGCCCGGGGGCTCGTCGCCCCGGGGGGACCGGCGCCCGCCACTCCGCCCGGTGGCCCGCTGCCTGCTGCTTCGCCTGGTAATCCGATGTGCCTCTGCCCGGAGTCCGGCCCGATGTGCCTCTGCCCGGTGTGCCGCTGCCCGGAGTCCTGCCCGGTGTGCCAGTCTTTGATATCCCGCCAGTTACCAGACCCGGGCGGTGGAACATTTTGCCCAGCTAGGACTGTTTGGAGCGTCCTGAGGCCGCTCCTTGAGGGGGGGGTACTGTCAGGAATGGACTGGCCAGCAATGGTGGGAGTCACCTGCCTTATGAGCTGCAGTACCAGGGCTGGCCAGCGGGTGCTCCCAGCAATCAGAGACTCAACCTTGCAGCCAGTCAAACACCTGCAACTGATTATACTGGTGTATTTAAGGGATGGTCAGACCTGCAGACTCTGCCTTGGGTGTGTGTTTCTCCTGGGCCCTGTATCCTGTTCCTGCTCCCTGTTCCTGTCTGATTCGTTGCTGACCCTGCTCTGATCCCTGGCTTTGTCTGACCATTCTCCTGCTCCTGATCCTGGCTTTGTCTGACCATTCTCCTGCTCCAGATCCCTGGCTTTGTCTGACCATTCTCCTGCTCCTGATCCCTGGCTTTGTCTGACCATTCTCCTGCTTAACCCCATACGTTGTCCTGACCCTCCTGTTGATAATCCCAGCCTGCCTGACGACGCTTGCATTGTATGTACTGTTATCTGTCTGGGTGACATTGGTTTGTTTGCACTGTGTTTATGTTTGATTAGTGTTAATAAATTATTTGTATAACGATATCTGAATCCTGCGTTTGCCTGCGCTTGCATTGTATGTCAGTCACATACCTTGGGTCACACCCGGAGCCCTGCACTGCCTGTATGTGGATTAGGTGTTGGTGGTTAAGACATTATATTTATAACATATCTGAAGCCTGCGTTTCCCTGCGTCAGAAGTCACAACCCCGGATGACAGTGTTTGGGGATGTGCCAAAAAGGCTCTCACACATTGGTTCCCATGGCATGTGTGCAAGCAATATATTATTTAAGTGACAACTTTGTGTGAAAATAATAAGTTTTGTCTTTTTTCCAAAGCTTTTGGTAAAAAAATCTTGTGTGAATGTTCTCTGACCAATCAGACTTCATGAGAGTGGCCTGAGGGCCCGATGTTCTCTAGTGGGCCCTGTGCTCACGCCCGGAACCATAGAGCTTGATTGACATTTGCCATTGAACACCAGAATTGGCAGGTCCGCCATTGGTGCCTGTGCTTTTTCACAGATGAGAGCAGGTTCTCACCTGAGCACATGTGACAGATGTGGAAGGGTCTGGGGAAGCCAGGGAGAATGTTATGCTGCCTGTAACATCATTCAGCTTGACAGTTTTGGTGGTGGGTCACTGATGCTCTGGGGAGGCATATCCATGGAGGGACGCACAGACCTCTACTGGCTAGACAATGGCACCCTGTGTGCCATTAGATATTGTGATGAAATCCTTGGACTCATTGGAAGACTCTATGGTGGGTCCTGTGTTCCTCCTGGTGCACGACAAAGCCCAGCCTCATGTGGCAAGAGTATATACAGGCAGTTCTTTGAGGTTGAAGGAATTGATACCATTGAATGGCCCCCACACTCACCTGACCTAAATCCAATAGAAACACCTCTGAGATATCATGTTTTGGTCCATCTGACGCTGCCAGGTTGCACCTCAGACTGTCCAGGAGCTCAGTGATGTCCTGGTTCAGATCTCTTTAGGATCATGCTCCGACATTGTCAGCCATGCATAAAAAGCATGTGGGGGTCATACTGAGTACCATTTTGAGTTGCTGCAATGAACATTTGCCTTCTGCATGATTTTTTTTCACTTTGAATTTCAGTCCTCTGCAGGTTGATAATTTTCATTTCCATCAACTGATGGGGCATCTGTATGTTTCCTAACACATTGCTCAGTCCATATCAGTTTAGATATCCAGCATGATCAAAGAACTGCCTGTATATACTCTTGCCACATGAGGCTGGGCTTTGTCGTGCACCAGGAGGAACACAGGACCCACTGCACCACCGTAGGGTCTGCCAAGGCTTTCATCCCGATATCTAATGACACACAGGGTGCCATTGTCTAGCCAGTAGAGGTCTGTGCATCCCTCCATGGATATGCCTCCCCAGACCATCACTGACCCACCACCAAAACTGTCATGCTGAACAATGTTACAGGCAGCATAACATTCTCCCTGGCTTCCCCAGACTCTTCCAAATCTGTCACATGTGCTCAGGGTGAACCTACTCTCATCTGTGAAAAGCACAGGGCACCAATGGCGGACCTGCCAATTCTGGTGTTCAATGGCAAATGTCAATCAAGCTCTATGGTTCCGGGCAGTGAGCACAGGACCCACTAGAGGACATCGGGCCCTCAGGCCACTCTCATGAAGTCTCTCTGATTGTTTGGTCAGAGACATTCACACCAGTGGCATTCTGGAGGTCATTTTGTAGGGCTCTAGCAGTGCTCATCTTGTTCTTCCTTGCACAAAGGAGCAGATAACAGTCCTGCTGATAGGTTAAGGACCTTCTACAGCACTGTCCAGCTCTCCTAGAGTAACTGCCTGTCTCTTGGAATCTCCTCTATGCTCTTGAGACTGTGCTGGGAGACACAGCAAACTTTCTGGCAATGGTACGTATTGATGTGCCATCCTGGAGTAGTTGGACTGCCTGTGCAACCTCTGTAGGGTCCAGGTATCGCCTCATGCTACCAGTAATGACACTGACCCTAGCCAAATGCAAAACTAGTGAAAAACAGTCAGAAAAGGTGGGTAGGAAAACAAATGTCAGTGGCCTCCCCTGTAAATCACTGTTTTGGGGGTTGTCTCATTGCTGCCCATTTAGTGCACCTGTTGTTTGCATTAACACCAAAGCAGATGAAACTGATTGACAACCTCCTCTGCTATTTAACTGACCAGATCAATATCCCAGGAGTTTAATTAACTTGATGCTATACTCTGATTAAAAAGTGTTCCTTTAATTTTTTTAAGCAGTGTACTGTATATACCATAGTTTGTAGACGTTATAACTTTCACACAAACCAATAAATATACACATATTGAGAATTTTTTTTACCAAAGACATGTAGCAGAATAAAATTTGACCTAAATTTATGACTAAATTTGAGTTTAAACCACTTGCCTACAGGGCACTTATACCCCCTTCCTGCCCAGGCCAATTTCCAGCTTTCATCGCTGTTGCACTTTAAATGACAATTGCGCGGTCATGCAACACTGTACCTATGACATTTTTATAATTTTTTTTGTGACAGCTTTATTTTGGTGGTATTTAATCACCTCTGTTTTTTTATTGTTTCTTAAACAAACCAAAAACCATTGAAAAAGTTTTTTTTTTTTTTTTTTTTTTTTTTTAAAGTTTTTTCTTAGTTTTTGTTATAAAATTTTGTAAATAAGTAATTTTTCTCCTTCACTGATGTGCGCTATTGAGGTTGCAGTGATGGGCATTGATAGGTTGCACTGATGGATACTGATATGTGGCACTGATGAGGCACTGGTAGGTGGCACTGCTGCGCATTGACAGGCATCACTTATGGGTACTGAAAGGCAGCACTCATATATGGCACTGATGGGCAGCACTGACTGTCACTGTTAGGTGGTACTGACTGGCACTGTTAGGCAGCACTGATGCACACTGATAGGCGGCACCGACTGGCACTTATAGGGCAGCACTGATAGTGGCACTGATTGGAAGCACTGATAGGTGGCACTGACTGGCACTGATGGGTGACACTGAAAGGCAGCTCAGATGGGCACTGATATGTGTCATTGATGTGGCACTGATGGGCACTGAAATGTGGCGTTGATGTGGCACTGGCAGGTGGCATGGATGGGCACTGATAGACACTGACAGGTGGCACTGCTGGGGCTACACAGATCATCAGGGCACACTGATCATCAGTGCTCTGATAATCTGTGTACATGTCCCCTCCGAGGAATGCCGATTACTGGCTCTCCTCTCCTCACGAGCTGTCAGCGTGACAGCTTGTGTGGAGAGAAATGCTGATAACCGGCATTTCCCTGTGTACATGTGATCAGCTGTGATTGGACACAGCTGATCACATGACCGAGCCGACATCTTCGGCTCTTTCCGTGGATCGGTGATCCGCTGTGTCCGAGGGACACAGTGCACCTCCGATTGCCGCACGCTCCGGGAGCCGCGCATGCGCGGTTAGAATGGGAGGTTTTCATATGGCGTCCTCCCAGAACGAGAGAACCGCCTTGCATCCCTCATATTACTATATGGCGGGTGGGAGGCGGTTAATGACTATTTTTTTTATAACAGAGTAGAAAATGACATTTTTATTTCTAAATGTTGGTCTTTTTTCATTTATATCACAAAGAATAAATATCTCAGTGGTGATCAAATACCACCAAAAGAAAGCTCTATTTTTGTGAAAAAAAAGGACATACATTTTGTTTTCGGTACAGTGTTGCATGACCTTGCAATTACCAGCTGAAATTGCTCAGTGTTGAATGGCAAAAAATGGCCTGGTCAGGAAGGGGGTAAATCTTCAAGTGGGCAGGTGGTTATATTGTAATGTATTATTTAGGCATTTCTCTATAATTGACAAACTCATATTCTCCTGGAGTACACATCTAATAACATTTTAATATCTATGGTATTAAGGTTTGAACATGCACTGCAGACACAGATTTAGCCATTGCAATATATAATGTCTGTATAAATAAAACCAAGTTTCATAAACAAAAATATCCCTTTTTGACAAACAAGTGCAACTTTAACCATTTGCCCTCCAGAGGATTTACCCCCCTTCCTGACCAGGCCATGTTTTGCTGTTTGGCAGTGCGCTGGTAATTGTACGGTTGTGTAATGCTGTAACCAAACAAAATTTATGTCCTTTTTTCGCACAAATCTTTTGGTGGTATTTGATCACCTCTGCGGTTTTTTACTTGTGCTATAAACAAAAAAAGACCAAAAAAAATATTTTTCACTTTTTGTTATAAAAAATATCCAATAAACTCAGTCATAAATTTAGGCCAAAATGTATTCTGCTACATGTCTTTGGTAAAAAAAAAATCTCAATACATGTATATTAATTGGTTTATGTGAAAGTTATAGTGTCTACAAACTATGGTATGTATATTGGAATTTATGTACAGTTGCAAGCAAAAGTATGTGAACCCCTTGGGATTACGTGGAGTTTTGCATGAATTGGGCATAAAATGTGCTCTGAACATCATCTAAGTCACAACAATAGAACACAGTCTGCTGAACATAATACTACACAAACATTAGATGTTGGCATGGTTTAATTGCACATAACATGTAAACATTCACAGTGCAGGGAGGAAAAAGTATGTGAGGCCCTAGCTTAATGACTTCTCCTAGAGCTAATTGGAGCCAGGAGTGAGCCAACCTTGACTCCAATCAGTGTGATGATATTGGATGTGTTGCTGACAGCTGTCCTGCCCTTAAAAAACACACACCTGTTTTGGGTTTACTGGTTTCAAGAAGCACTGTCTGATGTAAACCATGCCTCGCAGAAAAGAGCCTCGCAGATGATGTTCAGAGCACATTTTATGCCCAATTTATGCAAAACTCCACGTAATCCCAAGGGGTTCACATACTTTTTCTTGCAACTGTACATAAATCAGTGTGGGCAGTGCTGTCGGATGAGATTTTTCATCCGCATTTAAAAAAAAAGCATGGGGGCCTGGGGTGGCCAGTCGGTGGATGGCCCCTATGCTTCGGCATATATATTTTATATTTGTTGGCACATTTCAGGTGTGCCCACCATTAGAAGTGGGTGGATGAAGGGAGGTTTTCTAAAGGTGGGCATACCACCACACACTTTTCCTTGCAGAGATATTTCAATTATAAAGTTGTTTTATTGAGTTAATGTTTTATTGTTAACTATTGTTGATTTCTTTGCAGGAATGTCAAACTGCAGCACTGACCTGTTTATTCTGACAGCAACAGGGTCTTGCTTTCAGAATAGACATAAGTAGGTGTGTGCAGTGCTGTCGGATGAGATTTTTCATCCGCAGTTTAAAAAAAAAAGCATATATGCCGAAGCATGGGGGCCTGGGGTGGCCAGTGGGTGGATGGCCCCTATGCTTCGGCATATATATTTTATATTTGTTGGCACATTTCATGTGTGCCCACCATTAGAAGTGGGTGGATGCAGGGAGGTATTCTAATGGTGGGCATACCACCACACACTTTTTCTGCAGAGGTTTCTTCTCTTTTTTTTTATTCAGCCCACAGGCTGCATAAAGAAAAAACGAACACAGCATATACACCCAACAAGGACCAGCGACGTACTGGTACATCACTGGACTTTGAATGGTTATACCAGGGTGATGCCTGCAGCTGCAGGCATCATCCTGGTATCATTTTTTTCAGCCGGCGATGGGCTTTCATGTAAAAGCATTCCTAGTGGCTAATTAGCTGCAGGATTGCTTTTACAAGCAGCGGGAGAAAATGCCCCCCCTCCCCCTCCCCCTCCCTGAGATAGCATTAGTGATTAAAAAAAAAAAAATTAAAGGGACAGTGTAAAAATAATTAAATAATCAGAAAAAAAAAAAAAAAGTACCCTCGCCCACCCCGCAAGCGCGCACCTGCGGTCATGAGCGTTGACCCTGTGCCAGTATGGAAACAGCGATTGCACCATGCATGTGAGGTATCGCCACGAACGTCAGATCAAGGGCAGTAATTATAGCTCTAGACCTCCTCTGTAAATCTAAAATGTTAGCTTTTAAAGGCTTTTAAAGCATTGCCTATAGATATTAAAAATGTATGCAGTTTGTCGCCATTGCACAGGGCATGCGCAATTTTAAAGCATGTCATGTTTGGTATCTATTTACTCAGCATAGCATCATCTTTTATATCATACCAAATAATTGGCCAATATATTGTGTTTTTGTGCATTAAAATAAAAAAAGTGTGTATATATTTTTAAAAAAAATTGCGTTTGAAAAATCGCTGTGTAAGTACTATGTGAGATAAAAAATTGCAGCACCCACCATTTTATTTACTAGGGTGTCTGCTGTAAAAAAATATATAATGTTTGGGGGTTCATTTTAATTTCCTAGCAAAAATACAGATTTTTTTAATGTGAACAAAAAGTGTCAGAAAAGGCTTGGTCTTCAGGTGGTTAGAAGAGTGAGTGATGTGTGGCATAAACTTCTAATGCTGGGCATAAAATGCCCCCACCCCCCAAAATGACCCATTTTTGGAAAGTAGACACCCCAAACTATTTGCTGAGAGGCATGTTGAATCAATAGAAGAATTTATTTTTTTACCACAAGTTTTTGGAAAATGACAAAAAAAAAAAAAAATTACACAAAATTGTCATTTAAATAATTTATTTCTCGCACAAGCCATGGGTATATGTGGAATTACTCCCCAAAATACATTCTGCTACTTCTCCCAAGTATGGGGGTACCACATGTGAGAGACATTTTGGCAGTCTATCCAAGTACAGGACCCCAAAATCCAGTAAGCACCTTCAGGCTTTTAAAGGGCTTTATTTCCTCATTACACTTGCTGACTACCTATCACAGTTTCGAAGGCCTTGGAATGCCAGAATAGCACCAAACCCCCCCAAATTACCAATTTTTGGAAAGTAGACACCCCAAGGAATTTGATAGAAGAAGCATGATGAGTATTTTTTCAGATCTCGTTTGTTGCCACAAGTTTTTGGAAAATGAAGAAAGAAAACAAAAACATAATTTTTCTTTTCTTTTTTTATATTTCCAAACCTTGTGAGAAAAAATGAGATCTGCAAATACTTACCATGCCTCTTTTTAAATTCCTTGGAGTGTATACTTTCCAAAAAGGGGTCATTTGGGGGGGGGGGGGGGGTTGGTGCTATCCTGGCATGTCAGGGCCTTCAAATCTGTGATAGGTAGTGAGGAAGTGAAGTGAAGAAGTTACGCACCTTCAGGCTTTCAAAGTGGTCTTTGGATTTCAGGCTCCTGTATGTGGCTAGGCTCCCAAGAAGTCTCACACGTGTGTATCCTCATACTCGGTAGAAGTAGCAGAATGTATTTTGGGGGTGTAATTCTACATATACCCATGGCTTGTGCGAGTAATAAATCATTTAAATGACAACTTTGTGTAAAAAAAAAAAAAATGTTTTTGTAATTTTCCAGAAACTTGTGGAAACAAAATAAATCTTCCATGGACACAATATGCTTCTCAGCAGATAGCTTAGGGTGTCTACTTTCCGAAAAGGGGTCATTTGGGGGTGTTTGTTCTATCCTGGTATTTTAGCACCTCAAGAAATGTGATGAGCAGTCAGAAAGTAAAAAGCTGTGTAAATTTCAAATTATCTATACCATAGTTTGTAGATGCTATAACTTTCACACAAAGCAATCAATATACACTTTTTGGGATCTTTTTTACCAAAAACATGTAGCAGAATACATTTTGGCCTACATTCATGACGAAATTTTAGATTTTTGGATATTTTTTATGATGAAAATGAAAAACTTTGGTTTTTTTTCAAAATTTTGGGGATTTTTTTTTTTGTTTATAGCGCAAAAAATAAAAAGCGCACAGGTGATCAAATACCACCGAAAGAAAGCTCTATTTGTGTGAAAGAAAGGACATAAATTTTGTTTGGGTGCAGCTTTGCATGACCGCGCAATTGTCAATTAAACTAGTTCATAGTTGTATAGCAAAAAATGGGATAAATTACATTATCCATACCATAGTTTGTAGACAATATAACTTTTACACAAAGCAATCAATATACACTTATTGGGATTTTTTTTACCAACAACATGTAGCAGAATACATTTTGGCTTAAATTTATGACTAACTTTGACTTTACGATATATTTTTTATAGCCGAAAGTAGAAAATATCGTTTTTTTTCAAATTTTTCGTGGTTTTTTTGTTTATAGTGCAAAAAATAAAAAGCGCACAGGTGATCAAATACCACCAAAAGAAAGCTCTATTTGTGTGAAAAAAGGACATAAATTTCATTTATGTACAGTATTGCATGACTGCACAATTGTCAGTTAAACTAATGCAGAGCTGTATAGCAAAAAATGGCATAAATTGCAGTATCTATACCATAGTTTGTAGACACTATAACTTTCACACAAAGCAATTAATATACACTTATTGGGATTTTGTTTTACCAAAAACATGT